AGAGAGAGAGAGAGAGAGAGAGAGAGAGAGAGAGAGAGAGAGAGAGAGAGAGAGAAGAATAGTAGAATACCTTTCGTGCAGCGCCACTCATTCTGGTTGCTGCATTCGAGAGAGCAAAGACTGTGTTGCTTAGAAGACTGCGTGTGCCCTCTGCCACACCATGCGTGAATTGGGTAGGCCGCTAACAAATGTCACAGAAAAACGACGAACAACCAAACAACACGCGGGTGGCAGGTTACACACCAAGGCACAAGATGAGCAAATCCTGAAAGTTTGTGAAAGACGGAAGGAGAGGAAGGGCGAGACGAAGAATGGAAGCCCCAATTTTCTGTGAGATATAAACAATGGGAGGGGCACAAAAAGCGAATTAGCGTACTATTCGGTCAAATATTGTCGACTTTGCCAGATTCATCCGAGTTCTGTACTGTCTAACAATGACGTCAAGAGATTCTTTTGCTTTTTTTGACAAAACCACCGTGCCTCGCAGTGGTTTTGTGTTCTTAAAAAGTTTAAAACACCCCCTTGTTTTTTCTGTTTGTTTTTCTCAAACCGATCTATATTTGATGTTGCTGTTCAACTCTCTTTCCATGGGGTTAATTTTAATTTTTAAGAAGTGGAAAACTGAGACTGCACACTCCAGCAGGCCCTAGTCGCACCAATCGCCATCCGCCAAGATTTTGAACGGATCTGGGCACCCAAGATTTTTGAATGCATCCGGGCACACACGTTGTCCAGATGCATATTCAAAAGCTTGGCGGATGCGTATTCAAAAGCTTGGCGGATGCATATTCAAAAGCTTGGCGGATGGTGAGAGGGGCAACTACGCCCACTGTGATTTACCTGGCCCACAGCCTGTTTTGGTGAGTGTGGCAGAGCGGCATGGGGCCCTACTTGTGAATACTATGTTGTTTTTTTGTGTTTTGTTTTTGTTCTAAAAAAAATTGGACCATTTCTCGATTTATGCGTGTCATCCTTGCGCAGGGGCCATGCTAATCTTCTCTTGTATCGTTCCAATTTTAACTGATGCCCCAAAGGACTGAATACCATGTTAATTATTGTTTCCAAAAAAATATTTTAAACTTACCGTACAGAGTTGAAGACGTTGCACATTTCAGCGACTCGGCTGCCTAACAGGCGGATATAAGATAGTAGATTATGATCTGTGCGTTAGGGCTTCAGGCCCCGCCGCACACGCACGGCCTCAAATCGGCACCCTCAGCCACAGGAACCGAGTCTCTTAAACACTACAGCCCCGACGCAGTTTTCCAACGTGGAATCGTACCGGTCATGATATCCACCCCACCCCTGCAGGGCTGTAGTGTCCAACACACACACACCACACGGACACGGGAATCCACACACACTCAGTTCCAACGGACACGGCAATCAACGCACACTCGCCACACAGATTTCCATGCACTCCGCCCTCCCATTCGTCCCGGCGCTCGAAAACCTTCATCAACCCGGACTTTTCTCTCTACTACAGAAAAAGATAGTGTGGATCGAGACGAGTCAGGATGGATAGAATGCCAAATTGATAAATTGTGCAAAAGTAAATATATTTGGAGGCAGGGATGGTGAGAGAGCATAAGAGAACCTTGCTTGGGAAAAGAGCATTTGGGCACCTTTGGAGGAAATGCGATGGATGCTCATTAGTGAGCCTCACTCCTAGAAACCCAGTGTGTGACTCAAATCTCGTGAATCGTGATGATGGTTTTCACACAAGGTTTTCATTTTTTTAGCGTCTTCTTTTTTTTTTTTTTTTTTCCAAGTCTTTGTCTTTCTAATATTCTATTCTCTCAAAAAGTCTCAGCTTTTTTGTCTTTTCGTTTTATAGAGTTTTCAGCACTGCCCTCCACACTTTTTTTTTTTTTTTTTTTTTTTTTTTTGAGAAACTTGAAACTTCAGAAAAAGTGAGAATTCCATTAAAAAAAGCAGATGGCACCGGGAATCCTTACAAAACAACCCCAAAAAACTTCAAAAAAAGAGACAATGGGACAATTTGGGACCCCTTATTCAGCTTCAGTATAGCCACGATCCTGCCACACCGTCCCACAGTCATCACACCGGTAGAGTGACGTCTTATTCCGTGGCTAGTGGGGCCGTGCCCCATCGAGTTGTTCAACAGCCGAGTCTGGACATGTTTGTCGGGATGTGCAGAAAATCACGTCGAGTTTCCGCAACCGCACATCTCCACAAACACGTCCAGATTCGGGCTTGTTGAGGAAAGTAAATGCTGCTAGTGGGACCGTGCTCCAGAATGGGAAATTTCAAATGAAATGATTTGCTGATAATTTAACAATTAAATGATATAAGTGTTAGAGCACCCGTACCTCACCCAGGCAACTTGAGAATCGAAATAGGCTCAATTTGACGAATTCCGATGAACATTGAAGACGAATTCCGATGAACATTGAACAGTGCTACCTGACCAAAAAGGCCGGTGGCCTAGACTACCAGCCGGGCGGCGAGGCCGTGCAAGGCCCAAAGG